TTCCCTCCATTTTCTCATTCTTTTTTTTCTCTCTCTCTTTCCCCCTGTCCCTCTCTGTCTCTCTCTATCTCTACCCTGTCCCTCCCTTCTCTTCTTCCTTTCTCTCTCTTTCTCTCTCCTTCTTCTCATATCCTCCGTGCCCCTTTCCATTTCTATCCCCCTTCCTGCTTTCATACCCCATTTTCCCCCTCTCTTCCCCCCTCCCCATTCTCTTTCTCTTTTTATTCTCTCTCTTTCCTCCCTGCCCCTTTCTCTTTCTATCCCCCTTCCTTCTTTCATACCCCATTTTCTCCCCTCTCGTTCCCCCTTTCTCTTTCTCTTTCTTTCTCCTTCTTTTCTCTTTCTCCTTGTACACCCCCTTCGCTCCCCTTTCTTTCTCTCTTTCTTCCCCCCATTTTCTCTTCTTTTCTCTCTCTTTCCCGACTTTTTCATTCGCTCCATCGTCGCTACTGCATTTTTTCTTTTCGCTCACAACGGGGCAACATTTTTTAGGAGGGAAAATACGAAGAGAAAAGAAATATATTTTTTGCCGCAAACAAACAAACAAAAAACATTTTCCGCGTGACAGAATATATGATATGCCTGACTCTTCCCCCCCTTCTCTCCTCCTCCCTTCTTCTTTCTTTTTCCCTCCACCCTTTCTCCTCTCTTCTTCTTCTTCCTTTCTCCACCCTCCCTCTTCTCTTCCTCTTTCCCTCCTTCTTTCTTTCCTCCTCTCTTCCTCTTTCCCTCCTTCTTTCTTCCCTCCTCCCTTCTCCTCTCTTCTTCCTCCTCCCTTCCTCCCCCCCCTCCCTCCCTCCTCTCCCTCCTCCCCCTCCTCCCTCCCCCTCCCCCCCTCCCGTCCCCCTTTCCCTGTCCCCTGAAAATGCACACATACATACATGCCCACAACCACGCACACACGGACATACATATGCAAAAACCCACACAAATACAGACATATAGTTAGACACAAATGCACAGTTCACACACAACACGCACGCACACACAAACACACACGCGCACAAACACACACACACACACACACACACACACACACACACACACACACACACACACACACACACACACACATACACGCAAAAAGATATGCATAATTATATGGCCTTAAATTATTTAATCATGTTTCTAGCTTCCAAAAACATTTATCATTAAAATGAATATTCTTGAATGAGAAAAAAAAACATCTCTGATTTTTTTTATAAAAGTTTTTTTTTGAAATTATTTTTGTAATAATGTTGTTTGTAGTAAATAAAATGAAAAATATTTGACTCCAATAAGGTCAATTCAATACTTATAAGTGCAAAGCGTATAAGTGCGTTGATATACAAGTGCGTGTGCGTGTGCGTGTGTGTGCGTGCGTGTGCGTGCGTGTGCGTGTGTGTGTGTGTGTGTGTGCGTGTCTGTGTGTGTATATGAGGATTACATAAAATATATGTATCATAAAAAATTGCCAGAGTATATAAGTGCCAAAATCCAATCTAAAAATATATGTGTCTGAACTATATCTATGGAGTGTGAAGGTTCAAAGGTATGTAAGTGTCGGAATTATAAGTACGAATATGTTAAGTGCATAAGTATACGAGAACCAAAACTTAAGTGCTGGAATTCTCAGTGTAAAGTGATTAAGTCTTTAAGTGTACTTGAACATAAATTATATAGAACGTGTGTTTATAAGTGTCAGAATTTTAAGTAGAAAGTGTAAAGCACTTAAGTATATATAAGTGCTGTAACACAAACTCTAGAAAGTGTTTAGGAAAGAGGAAGAGGGAGGGAGAGGGAAGGATGGAGGAAGGAGGAAGGGAGGAGGAGAGGAAGTGGGAGGAGGGAGGAGGGAGGAGGAGGAGGGAGGAAGAGGGAAGGAAGGAGGAGGAGGGAGAAGGAGGGGAGGAAGAGAGGGAAATGGAGAAGAAGAGGAGGAAGGAGGAGGCAAGTGGGAGGTGGGAGGAGATAAGTACCAGAATTCTAAGTGTACAAACATATAAGTATACACAAGTACCCTAAATCAAATGAATAAAAACGTGTGAGTTTATGAGTTTCAGAATTTGAAGTAGAAAGTGTACCTGCACATAGGTGTAATCATATAAGTGTTTTAACACAAACTATAGAACGTGTAAGTTTATAAATATAAAAAAATCGAAGTGTACAATCATATATATATACTTATATGATAAGTATAACTATAGAACGTGTGTTTATAAATTTACGAACCCGAAGTAAAAAGTGTACAAGCACATGAGTACATATAAGCGTCGTAACATCAACAAATGAAACCTAACGGACGTCCGAGTTTATAAGTGTCAGAATTCTAAGTGTACAAGCGCATAAGTAATACGTAAGTGCGGCGGTGCATTGCGGGTCGTGTAGATCAGCTGAGTCACTCGCTTCCGGCATAGAGTGTGTCAAGGAGGGAGGGGGGAGGTGGAGGGAGAGGGGGGGGGGGTGAAAGGATGCGGGAGAGATGGAGATGGAGGGAGGATGGATGAGGGAGGTGAGAGGTGGGAGGAGGAAAAAGGAGGAAGAGAGGGGAAGGAGAGAGGATGGAGGAATGAGGGAGGATGGAGGAATGAGAGAGGGGGTGGAAAGAGAGGGTGGAGGAAGGAGAGGTGGGAGAAGGAGGGTGGGGGGGGGCAAGTCGGGGGAAGGGGAGAGGGTTGGATGGAGGAAGGAAGGAGGGAAAAAGGAGGTGGGAGGAGGAGGGAGGATGATGATGAAGGAAAGAGAGAGGCTGGGCAATCTGAGAGAGGGAGCGAAGAGACAGAGAAGGAAAGGATGAAGGAGGGAACCTGAAGGGCTGGAAAAGGATGATAGAGGGAAGAGATTGAAGAAGGAAGAGAGGCGAAGCGAAGGGGGCTAAAGAGGGAAGGAAGAAGAGAAAGATGGCGAAAGGGAATGGAGACAGAATCGCAAGAAAGAGGATGAGAAAGACAGGAATATACGTAGACTATCACCCACACAAAACTGAATACATGTACATATAAAAACCCGCATTAGATATCCAAGCATGTACAATTTCCAGCAGCATACATTCTGAAAACATTGCTCGCAGCATATTCCCGTCTGTATCTTTATAAAACGCCAAGTAAATACCAACTCTTTTTTGTCATGAAGAGAAAAAAATGTTTATATCCCACGTCATATTTCTAGGCCCGCAGACCGTCTTTTTTCTTTTACATTCAGGATCACTCGCCCAACACGAAACATCAAAAGCGTCATCAACACATTAAACTTCACTTTTCCCAGTGACATTTTAATGTATTCTAGAATATTTTAGAATATCTTTATGCCCTCAGTGAGCTTGTTTACATTTTTCATTAATGGCTCTAATAATTATTTTGTTTTCATGTTTTTTTTCGTCGTTCAAATATGGGATTTTTTTTTATATTTAGCATCCCTGGAAAGTGGCATGCCAGAGGCACGATATATAACATTTTCCTTTCTGCTTTTATCGTTATTTACTTTTGCTTTTATTTTTCCAGGTGTTTCTGGACCCGAGGTTATTTCCAGTACCTGCTACCTGCCCAGTACTGATCCAGGTAAGATGCATATATTAGTGTTATTATGTGGTGTGTATATTATTATAGATATAGACACACACAGACACACACAGAGACAGAGAGAGAGAGAGAGAGGAGAGAGAGAGAGAGAGAGAGAGAGAGAGAGAGAGAGAGAGAGAGAGAGAGAGAGAGAGAGAGAGAGAGAGAGAGAGAGAGACAGACAGACAGACAGACAGACAGACAGACAGACAGACAGAGAGAGAGAGAGACAGACAGATACAGAACACACACAAACTGATACAAAAACAAACAACACAAAAACACACACACGCATCCTTTCCCCACACCCACCCAAAAAAAAAACACTGAAATCAACAACAACAACAACAAAAACAAACCAACAAAAACAACAAAAACAACAACAACACAAAAACAACAACAAAAACAACACAAAAACAACAAACACAACGAACAGAACAACAACAACAAAACCAACAACAACAACACACAACAACAAACAACAAAACAAAACAACAACAAAAAACCTAAATTAAAAACCACGGCTCCCCCCAGGCGCGCCCGAGAACGACAACGCGACTCTGCCGGTTCACAGCAATATATACAAGAACGAAACGGCTTTGGCAACGGACTACTGCCGCCTTTCGCCCAACCACGCTTTGTGCCGTTATTCTGTTGACGAAGCAGGGCCGGCTTGCGTCAAGGTAAGAGAGAGAGAGAGAAGGAGAGAGAGAGAGAGAGAGGTAAGAGAGAGAGAGAGAGGAGAGAGAGAGAGAGAGAGAGAGAGAGGAGAGAGAGAGAGAGGAGGTAAGAGAGAGAGAGAGAGAGAGGAAGAGAGAGAGAGAAGGAGAGAGAGAAGAGAGAGAGAAGAGAGAGAAGGAGAGAGAGAGAGAGAGGAGAGAGAAGGAAAGAGAGAGAAGGAAAGAGAGAGAGAAGGAAAGAGAGAGAGAAGGAAAGAGAGAGAGAAGGAAAGAGAGAGAGAGAGAGAGAGAGAGAGAGAGAGAGAGAGAGAGAGAGAGAGAGAGAGAGAGAGAGAGAGAGAGAGAGAGAGAGAGAGAGAGAGAGAGAGAGAGAGAGAGAGAGAGAGAGAGAGAGAGAGGAGAGAAGAGAGAGAGAGAGAGGAGAGAAGAGAGAGAGAGAAGAGCATAGAGAGAGAGAGAGAGAGAAGCAGAGAGAGAGAGAGAGAGAGAAGCAGGAGAGAGAGAGAGAGAGAGCAGGAGAGAGAGAGAGAGATGCAGAGAGAGCAGAGAGAGAGAGAGAGAAGAGAGAGACGAGAGAGAAGAGAGAGAGAGAGAGAGAGAGAAGAGAGAGAGAGAGAGAGAGAGGAGACGAGAGAGAGAAGTAAAGTTTAGAGAGAGGAGCAGAGAGAGATAGTAAGAGAGTTTTGAGAGAGAGGATCAGAGTACGAGAGATGAGAAGAAGGAAAAGGGAGGAGAATAGATAGAGAGAAGGAAAGAGATGAAAGGAAAGGGAGAATTGACTAGAGAGAAGAAGAGATAAGAGAAAGAGAGAGGAGAGACGAGAGAGAGAGAGAGAGAGAGAGGAGAGAGAGAGAGAGAATGAGAGAGAGAGAGAGAGAGAGAGGAGAGAGAGAGAGAGAGGAGAGAAAGGAGAGAGAGAGAGAGAGAGAGAGAGAGAGAGAGAGAAAAGAAAGAGAGATAAGAACTAAGATAAAATGAATAAAATACATAGAGACAGACAGAAGCGAAGGACCACCCACCGCCTCCTGCCCCTCCAACCCCCTTCCCCCCTCCCTCCCCTCCCCAACACCACAACCCTTCCGCCCTGAGCGACAGCAACAAGGCGCCCCATTCCACGCCCACGAGCGCAAAACACGGACAGGCTCGGAAGGGAGGCGCCCATCCGCGCCGATCTTTTTTTCTTCGAACTCGGAGCCGGGGAGACTGACGTGGCGGCGCCGAGTGCTCTCGTGGGCGCGTTTTATTATTCATCGGAGATCGTGGGCGGGGTTGGGTGGGGTGGTGGGGGGGCGGTGGGGTAGGATGGGGATGGGCGGAAAGGGGGAAGGGTGGGTAGGATGGGATGGGGTGGAGAGGGGATCGAGGAAGAAGGGGGGGGTAGATGGGTGGGGAGGAGGGGAAGGGGGGTAGGATGGGTGGGAAGGGGGGGGAGGTAGGGAGGGTAGGATGCGGTTATGGGGGCAGGAGGGGGGCGGGGGGGTGGGTGGAGCTCTCTCACTTCTCCTTTTGCTTTCTCTATCTTTCTCTTGTTCTATCACTCTTCCGCAAAGGCCTCTCGGTCTGCCGTTTTTCGCTTTGTCTGTCTGTCTGTCTCTCTCTCTCTATTGCATCTTCGTTCTTCCTTTTTTTCTTCCTCTTCCCGTATCTATCATCATTGTCCTCTATCTCTTCTTTTTCTTTACCTTCTTCTGGTTTCTCAATTTTCATATTTCTTCCTCCCTCCTTCGCTTACTCCCATCCTCCCTTCCTTTCTTCTTCCCAACCTGCCTTACACTCCATTCCTTCCTTATCATCCCTCCATTCTCTTTCTTCTCCTTATTTCTTTCTCCCTTTCACCCTCCTTACCCTTCAATTCTTCTTCATTTCTATATTTTTACGTTTTATTTTAATTTTGTTCTTTTTCTACTTTTCTCTTCTTATTTTATTCTTCTTCTTTATCTCTCCCTCCCTCCTTCCTTTTATACTTCCTCCCTTGTATTTCCCGCTCATTTTTTTTCTTTAAATGACTATCGGAAAGCGCACACAATGTTTTTCTATGATATGTTTATGTTTCATACGATTAAAAAGTATTTTCTTTCTGAGTCTTACTTTATATCAATTAATGCTATCTAAAATAGATATAGAAACCGATAAACACCACGAGATACACAAATTAAGTCTTTTTAAAAAATTGTTAACGCTTAAAATCCGAAATCAAATAGCATACACGCCAGAAATACACATCAAAGCCTTCCATACTACGAAAAGGAAAGACCGAAAGCGCCAATCAAGATCGGCTTAGTGAATGACCCACATACACAAATCATGCAATAATAAAAAAGATAAATAAATAACACTCGGACATTTTCATCTCTCTCACGCTCACCCAGCTGCAAAAAAAAACAAAAAACAAAAAAGAAAAACGCATTGCAACATCTCTCTCGCAACATGGAACGCACTGTCAGAAACACACCTCCGTTTTCCCGGGTCTTATATATACACGTCTTGCTGAAAACAAAAGCGAAACGACTTATCCGCCTTAAGATGGTATGCATATTTCATCTCTTAATGATATAGTATGTGCTCTCCTTTTTTTTTTTCGTCTCCCGTTTTCTTTTATTTGTGTTTGGAGAAAGAAAACGGGCGAAGGGAAGCGTTTATCGTTTTTTTTCTTTTCTTTTGTTTTTGAAGTGCTGCGAGGTATTGTATCATAAGGAAGGAAAAAATAATAATGAAGGGAGAATAAAAGACTATTCTGAAGATGTATTTATTATTTAAAAAAGCGAAGCCTTAAAGGTAGATGAAGTTAAGATATTTGAGTTCGAGATGAAGACTGGGGGTAGGGAGGGAGAGGGAGAGGAGGGAAGAGAGGGAAAATGAGGGAGAAGGAGGGAGAGAAAGGGAGAAGGAGGGAGAGAAAGGAGAAGGGGAGAGAAAGGGAGGAAGGAGGGGAAGAAGGGAGAAAGGAGGGGAGAGGAGGGAGAGAAGGAGGGAGAGAGAGAGAAGAAGAGGGAGAGGAGAGGAGGGAGGAAGGAGAGGAAGAGAGGAGGGAGGAGGAGAGGAAGAGGAGGGAAGAGAGGGAGGAGAGGAGAGGGAGAAGAAGGAGGAAGAGGAGGGGAGAAGAAGAGGAAGAGGGAGGGAGGGAGAGGGAGGGGGGGAGGGGAGAGAGAGAAGAGAGAGAGGGAGAGAGAGAGAGAGAGAAGAGAGAGAGAGAGAGAGAGAGAGAGAGAGGAGAGAGAGAGGAGAGAGAGAGGGAGAGAGAGAGAGGAGAGAGAGAGAGAGCGAAGAAGAGAGAAAGAGAGAGGAGAACCAGGTAGAGGGAGTAAATAGGAGGGATAAGGGGGGGGGGGTACGGCTGGGTTTATATAATCATGAATATCTTTTTGCTCCGAAAAATATTTTCTAATCCGTTTCCCGGGACGTGGTTGAGCTTATTCCGTTTTCTCTTTTCTCTCTTTCTCTCCTTCTACTTCTTTTCTCCCTTTTCTTGTTTCTCGTTCTCTTCCCCCCTCTCGTCCTCATCATCTTCTCTCTCATCCTCCTCTTCTTTTCTTTCGCCTTCTTCTTCTCCTTTCTTACCATCCTCTGCCTCTTCCTTCTCCTTCTCTTTATTTTTCTCCTCCTCTTCCTCTCCTTTTTTCGTTGCTTTTTCCTTACTTGTCTCATCGCTCCTGTCACTTCACCTCCAACTCCTCCTCCTCCTGCTCTTCCTCTGTCTCCTCCCCCTCTTCCTTCTTTTTTTTCTTTCTCCTTCTTCTCCTCCTCCTGCTCCTCCTTTTCCTTCTTCTTCTCCTCTGTTTTTTCTTCTTATCATTATTCTTTTCTTCTTCCCCCTTTTTTTCTCCTATTTCTCCTTTCCTCTTCCTTCTTCCCTCTTTCTTCCTTCCATCCCCCTCTTTCTTCTCATTCTTTTTCTTTATTCCTCCTCCTCCTCCTCCTCCCCTCTTCTTCTTCTTCTTCTTTTCTTCTTCCTCCTCCTCCTCCCCTCCTCCTTCTCTTCCTACTATTTTCTCCTCTCTCCCTCTATCCTACTCTATTCCTCTCCTCCTCCACTATTCCTCTCCTTCTTTCCTATATCTCTTCCGTGGTGCTCCAAAATTCCAAAAGAGAATAAAATCTACGGACTCGGCACGCCACTTTACACTTACATTTGGGTTGATGATGATGGTATGTTCTGTCCATTCAAAGAGGAGAAGAGAAAAGGAGAAAGGAGGAGAAATATGGAGAAAAGATGGAGAAGGAGGATTAGCAGGATTGGGAGGAGGAAGAAGAAGAAGAGGAAGAGGAAGAAGAAGAAGAAGAAGAAGAAATAAAGAAGGAGGAGGAGCAGTAGTAGTAATAAATTAATAATAAATAATAATAATAATAATAATAAAATAATAATAAACAATAAAAAGAAGAAGAAGTAGGAAAAGGGGGAGGAGGAGGAGGAAGAGGAAAGAGGAGGAGGAGGAGGGAGGAGGAGGGAGAGACGAAGAAAAAGAAGGAGAACAGAGTCACGGGGGGACAAATAAGAGGAGATTAAAGGTGGCACCACAAAGGGGGTGGTGTGGGTTAAAGAAAAGGAAAAGTGCCACCACAGGGAGAGAGAATGGAGTTTAAAGAAAAAAATGGGAAAAAAGAATGGGGCCAATGGGGAGACAAAGAAAATGGAAAAGCGCCACAGGGAGACTTAAAGAAATGGAAAAAAAGGTGGAGAGAGAAAAGAATGGAAAAAAGTGTCCAGGGAGACAAAGAGAATGGGGTGGGGAAAAAGAAAAGAAAAAGGGGGGTAAAGGGGTGCCCACTGCCACAGGGAGACAAAGAAAATGGAAAAGGTGCCGACTGTGGAGAGTAAGAAAATAGAAAAAGTGCCACAGGAGAGACTAAAAGAAAATGGAAAAGATGCCACAGGGGAGACTTAAAGAGAATGGAAAAGGTGCCACAGGAGAGTCTAAAAGAAAATTGATTAGGTGCCACAGGGGAGACAAAAAAGAATAGGGGGAGGAAATGATATTCGAGCTTAAGGATGCCATACTGTCAAAAAAAAAAAAAAAAAAAAAATAAAAAAAGTTTTGAAGCAACAAGAGTAGTCTTTCCTCTTTATCGAAAAGTTAATAAGTTCGAGTCAAAAGTTGCGATGCTCGTTATTGGAAAATGTGTATAATGATGGTGATGCTGACGTCGGTAAGTATGGTGATGAATATGGTGATGAAAATGGTAATAAAGTGATGATGGTATTAGTGATGATGATAGAGATTAGTAAGGATAGTGATTAATATTAGTTGTATTAATGGTGGTGATGATGTTAATGATCATGGTAATAGTAATTATGATAATAGAGGTAGTTATGATGATGATGATAGTTGTAATGATAATGATGATGGTGACAGTAATGATGATGATGGTTATGAAAAAAGTGGTAATAGTAAGATTAATGATGATGATGATAATTATAGTCTAATGATAACAATGATGATAATGATAGTAATGATAATAACCATGATAATGATGATAATAGTAATAATGATAATGATGATAATGATAATGATGTTAATCATGATGTTAATAGTAATAATAATGATATTAATGATAATGATAATAAATAATATATTAATAATAAAATAATAATAATAATGATAATAATGGTAACAATAATGATAATAATAACAACAACAACAACAACAATAATAATGATAATAATAATAATAATAATAAAATAATAATAATAATGATAATTATAATAATGGTAATGATAATAATAACAATAACACCGATAACCATGATAATGATAATAATCATAATAAAACTAATACTTCTACTAATACTACAAATATCACAAATACTTCTCCTACAACGATCTTTCTGATACCAATCTATTCTTCTCTAAAAAGATACAATTTTCGAAATTGGGAAGCGGTAAAGACAAAGAAATGGAAATAAGGAAATGTACTTTCATTTCCCTAGGCGGTTTGAGCTGGGCTCCCCCCCCCCACTCCCCCCTAAAAAAGTTTCTTGATGGCTAAATGTTTTATTTCTTATAGGCGATGTACAAACACACACACACACACACACGGATACGCACACGCACGTATACGAACCACGGACACACACACACACACACAAGGATATACATATACATAATCATGTATCTACTATGTTATCTCTATCTCTCTCTCCTTCCGTCTTCTCTCTCTTCTCTCCTCTCTCTATCTCTCTCTCTCTCTCATCTATCTATATAGGTTTATCTATCTATCTATCAATCTGATATATAATCCTTCACCAATTAAGAATCACCTACCCAATCACCCCTTCCCCTATCCCCACTCACCTCGCCTTTCATCCCCCTCCCCCACTCACCCTCCCTCTCACCCCCTCCCTCCCACTCACCTCCCCCTCACCACTCACCTTCACCTCTCATCCCCCCCTCCTCCCCACTTCACCCTCCCTCTCACCCCCTCCCCCTCTCTTCCCACAGCCTCTGAAGATCGGCCTGTCCGCCGCGAGAAGGAAGACGCCCTCAGGATCCACAACGAACTGCGGGCGGGCGTGGCGAAGGGAGAGGTCCGGCGTGGGCGGCCCGGACCCCAACCCCCGGCGGCGGATATGATGGAGCTGGTGAGTGGGCGGGGGGGGGGTGAGGGTGAGTGGCGTGGGGGGAGGAGGGAGGGGTTGGAGGTGGGGGGGAGGGTGTGGATAGGGTGTGGAGGAAGAGGGAGGAAGGGAGGGAGGAGGGAGGGCGAGAGAGGAAGGAAGGGAGGGAGGGAAGGAGGAAGGGAGGAGAAGGAAGGGAGGGAAGGAAGGAGGGAGGGGAGGGAGGAGGGAGGGAGGGAAAGGGAGGAGGGCAGGAGGAGGTTGGGCAAGGAGTTGAGGGAAAAGAGGGATGGAGGGGGAGGGAAGGAGGAAGTAGATTAGTAATGAGCGAATGGAGGGTATTGGCGATGGAGGGAGGGGGGGTTGGGAAGAGGGAGGGGGAGTGAGGGAGAGGAAAGAATTTTATACGCAGAAGATTGAGGGTAAAAAAGATGGAAATGGAGGAGGGAAGTTGGGGGAGGGAGTAGGGGAGAGGTGGAGGGAAGGTAGGGGAGGAGAGGGGAAGGTGAGTGAAAGGGAGGAGAGGGGGAGGAAGGAAGGGGAGAGGAAGGGGATGAGTAAAATTGATTTGGAAGAAAAAGCGAAGAAGGGGAGAGAAGACGGTAAAGGGAAAGAAAATAATCAAGAGGAGAGGAAAGAGGAGAACTACCTCTTCCTCTTAATCTTCAGCAGGGAGTCGCCACCGGAAGAAAAATCGTTCTTAGTTCACCACCCAGTTCTCCCGACATCCAATTTCCTGTCNGAATAAGCATTGCAGCGGCAGGCCAACAATGTCAGTTTGCGAAGAAAACATTGATACTGTTCATGACTTCATTAAAAAGGATATATGAATAAGCACTCAACATCTTGTGGAGAGTTTGGGACTAAGCAAGCTTTCCACTAGATGGGTTCCTAAGCTGTTGCTCCCAGATCAGCAGCAAACGAGGGCAGATCTTTCAGTGGAAATTTTGAACAAGGAGGATGGGGATTCTGAAGCTTTTCAGAGAAGAATTGTGACAGGAAATGAAACATGGCTCTACCAGTATGATCCTGAGGGCAAAATTCAATCAAAGCAGTATCTGGCTCAGGGTAGAAGTGGACCAGTCAAAGCAAAATCTGAGTGTTCAAGAGGAAAGGTCATGGCCACTGTCTTCAGAGATGCAGAGGGGATTTTGCTTGTTGACTTCCTCGAGGACAAGAAGACAATTACATCTGCTTATTATGAAGGCTTTTTGAGAAAGCTGTCACAAAAATTTCGGAAAAATGCCCTGGAAAGCTGCATCAACATGTCCTCTTCCATCACAACAATGCACCCATGCACAGTGGTTGGCAAACAAGAGCTGGACTATGTGAATTTGGATGGGAAATCATCTGACATCCCCTTTCAGCCCTGATTTAGCCCCATCCAACTTCTTTTTGTTTCCGAAGTTTAAAAAATCATTGAAAGGTACCAATTTTCCGTCAGTTGAAGAAGTAAAAAGAGCTGCTCTGACATGGTTCAGATCACAAGACCCTCAGTTCTACTCTGACGGACTTAAAGGCTGGTATCAAGGTTTGCAGAAGTGTGTTGACCTTAATGATAATAATATCTGAAATTTTTTCTTTCGTACTATCCTTTTTCCACAAACTTTTTGAAGCCCCCCCCCCACACACACACACACACACACACACAGAGGGTCTTGAAAGGGGCTTGCAAAAATAAAGCTTAGTTTTTCCATGACTTGTTATAAAGTTCTTTGTATCAGTGTTTCTTTCTTTCTAATAATTATTGTAATAGGTGTTGATATCACAAAAAGGATTGATGTGTTGGATTACAATTCTGTAGTAGTTTAGGCTGTGATGTATTTTTTTACGCTTCAGTGATTTATTGCATTTGATCTTTTACTTCAATATGTGGTCATGTCAGTTGTGTTGATGACTGGATATTACAAGTTGATTTATGATTGTTGCTTCTTGATACTGCTGAATAGATAAAGCCACATATTAGTTCCGAAATCTGACAAGAAGTTGCCAACTTCCATATTGTCTTTTACCCATATTGCTGCTTTCAGAACTGTGTTTATGGTTTTGGAAAGCACACATAAATTGCATATTTGATTGTCTTGTGCATATAGATTATCCTATTTGCCCTTGTTACTTCCACATAAACTGCAGATTAAGTGTATAAAAAAAGAAGTCCACTTAGCAGAAATTCCTTTCTTTCCTGTCATGGAATGGACGTTTGGAAAAATCCTACAAGTAGTACATCAGAATAGATACTGTGCCCCTTTTATGGTATTGATTCTTTGTACCAGAACAGCTGGTACTTTTATAAATGTTTTTTGTGTTATTCTTTCTACCTATTTGGTTCATTTGTTTTTTCTTCCTTGATATGTTGATGTTGAGATTTTGTATTTTAAGTATTGAGATTTTCATTGGATTAATGAAATGGTAAATATATAGAAAATAGGACATTTGGGCTGGATTAATCTGTGATGTATTTTCATTTATGAATAGAGAACTTTCGTTTATTTCTAAGTGCACACTATATTTTAATCAGTGATGTAGTGATTTTTGAGATATGTCAGAGAGTTAGGGTCATATGCTATAATTGTGCAGATGATGAATATTCTTGTTAATATACTTTGAATACCAACTTACCTCTGCAGGTGTGGTACGTCCAAGCTTGGGAGATGAAGACGATGAACTGGAACCCTTTGATATCTCTGTCATAGAGAATGTGCCTCTACAGCTGAATCCTGTACAAAACAAGTCCGTGAACAGCTCTCCGGGTGTAAAGTTTTTCAAGGTATGTGAATATTGTGGCCGGGCATTCAATAAGAAAGCAGCTTATATTCAGCACCGCAATTCACACAGACCTGTGCAGCAGTGTAAGAAATGTAATTTTAAGACAAAAGATGTCAAAAGGTTTAAAGAGCATGTAGACTCACATGAAGAAAATAAAACAGATATCCAATGCAACTTATGTCCACTTCAGTTTACCAATATTTTAAGTCGAAGAAACCACAAAAAGAATGTGCACAATGTATATGAATGTAACCACTGCTCAGTCGACTATATATCAGAGAGTAAGTTAAAAGAGCATATCAATGATAGTCACTTGCCAAGAAAGGGAGTGTATGTTGCTATAGAGAACGTAGAAAATGGAGAATCGTCTTCAATAGTCTCTCAAGAGTCTTTCTCATCTTCTAGTCCTAAAAAGTATTTGGTTTGCCGCCTGTGTAATAAGGAAACACGAAATAAATATCAGTTAAAGATACATCTTGCCCAACATTTAGGAGTTTCAAGCAGCACAATTACAGATGACAACTTGCTCTTAGAAGATGTTGAACAATTTGCTTGGGATGAAGAGAATGAAATTCACATTCATAGTGAAAATAATGCTGTCTACAGAAATGCAGAGTCAGAAGGAGCAGGTAATGTTTCAATATTGTCTTCAGAAGTACATAAAGAAGTTAGGTTACGAGATGGTGAACTCGATAGTATTCAATTACAAGGAAATTTGATAGTGAAAGAAGAACCTATAGAAATAGATATAGTTGAGAAACACCATGATGCAGAACTCACAAGATACCAAGCACCTATAATTTTCCCAAGAAGGGTAGGAAGGCCTATGGTTATGTTGACTTGTGACCAGTGTGGAGACACATTCAAATCTCCCAAAGCCTTGAGAAACCATCAGAAGCTAAGACACAGAAGACTAGTCAAATGCCCAGCATGCAATATAACCAGAGTCAATACAAAGAAAATGTTAGCTCATCAGAAGACAGCCCATAAAAACAAATTCAGGTGTCATTTTCACTGCTTAGCACTCTTTGATACAAGAAATGAATTATCATCCCATCATTTAAATATACACAAAAAGGATGATTCAAAATTAGTATGCAGATATTGTAGGCAGAATTACCCTAGGGGAACTTATATGAACCACCTGAAGCACTGCGAGGAGGACCCTCTGATGAGAAGAGCACCCTGTATTTGCAGTCATTGTGAAGCCTCATTTAGTTCTCCTGATGAATTAACTCGTCATATGAAATTCTGTGGTTCTAAGATTCCAGAGCCTGAAAGCAGCAAAACGGTTGAGAAGAAAGACTTTGATTTAAATACAGAAGTGGTTGAAGATAACGTTTCCAAAAGCAAAGAAGAAAAAACAGTTTCAAGTAAAAGCAAACCAGTTGAGAAGGAAGATGTAAATTTAGACACAGATATGGCTGAAGATAACATTCTCATAAGTAAAAAAGAAGAAACAGTTTCAAGAAAAAGTCTACAATCTTCCATTTTGAAGGAGAAGGTAGTTATTGATTGTACATCTCAGGTACAAGATAATATGATAACAGAAAAAGTAAAAGAAGCAGCACAAGATAAAGTAGGACCTCAGAGATGCAAATATTGTTCAAAAACATTTGATACTGTAGATGATGGCATTAATCATGTATTATGTTCTCATAGAGTCTTGATTTCCAACATCACAAAGGAACCAAGAATGTGTCACCTCTGTGGGAAAAATTTCCTCTCAGGTTTAGCACTCTGTAAGCACATTCTCAAGCACTACAGTGATACTGGCTTATGGGATTCACTTGTCCCCCCAGACTTGAACATGGAGACAGTAAGGAGCATCTGTTGGATATGCAAAACCAAAGGTATGGTGAATCACAGGTATCATGCTACACGTAGGGATAACTTTATTGAAAAACTATTAACCACACGATATATAGAACCAGATAGTAATGATATCTATCACTGTTCTGCTTGTGATGAAGGTTTCCAGAGCAGATTTGCTTTTTGGAAGCACATCAAACTCCACATGTCTAAAGCATTTTTCAAGAATGCTGAAGGTGGGAAGCGTTTTAAATGCACAAGATGCCCATTAAAGTTCTTGAAGAAGTCTCAGCTCTATGGACATATTGCAACTCACCTCCTTGATCCATACATTATTACTCAGGGTGAAGAAGACTGTGTGGATGATGGTGGGGATGAGAGATGCGAATCTGATGAAGCGAGTAATAAAACGCTAGGAGGGGCCAAAAATTCTATCGCCCAGAATAAGT